TTGAATTTTTTTACCTATCTCTGAGGTAAATTAAAAAGACTCAGTATGCCCCAGATGTGTTAGTCACCATAGACTGTTTTTGTATTCCATATGGCTTTGTAATAGCAGTGGTGGTGTCCCCTTAAGATATGGAATAAACTTTGGCTTTGCTGTTATGAAGTAGTTTCCAGTATTTTTTTCCCTAAAATTTATTTAGATGACTTTGCAATGTTAAATAGTAGAAAGATGGAAACCTTAATAAAAAATTTTAGAGCAAGACATGTAATGTCTCATGTCTGAGTCACCTGTCTGGTTTATATTGTGAATATTCCTCTGTGCCTCTTATTGTAATTCTAAGGCTGCAGTGTTATGCACAGGTTTACAGCTACCTCCTGGGAAAATAGCTGAATTTGAAAAGAGAGACAAAACACTTGCAGTAAAGAATAGAGCACATTTTCTGTTTCAATCTCAAGACTGCTTTATTTTTGTATTATTCACATTATGTGATCCTTGTATGTTGTGTGGTTGGTGGCACATCTTTCCTTCCTTCTTCCAGAATGGTGTTGCTACTCTGGGGTTTCTTAAAACTTTCTTCTCATGTGCCACAACCAAAATCTGGCTTTCTAAAGAAAATAGACAGTTTCCCTAGACAAGCATGACCAACATTGCCTGTAAGGGTTTAATTTTTATAAGGGATTTGTAGGTGGTTACATTAGTAGCGAAACTTAAACTCAGTTACGAAGTGGGTGTTAACCACGTAAATAGTCTAGAAGTTTTGAAAAAAAAATTACTGAAACAGTGAAAGGTGCTTGAGCCCTGATCACTGAAGTTTTTGGTTACTAGTACTGGTTTCTATAGGACAGAAAAATAAAATTGGCTTCGTTAAGAGGTTTTACATGGAGAAATATGAGGCATTAATTCCTAACTCGGTAATTATTTGTTTAATTATGTAAACAGGTTTTACAATAATCTCGAATAATGTGGTAATTATGGAGCAGTAATAAACCCAACTAAAATTTAGGTGATTTATCTCTGGCCATTGACAAAGTTAAATCCTGTTTTTAAAAAGTGAAGTTTCTACCCTCAGTACCCCATATGCATAAACTGTAGCAAAAGGAGGTCAGCATTCTCTTGTCTATAGAATGATTTTCACACAAATGGGTCTAGAATATATATAGTGGGTCTTGAATCAGGTATTTGTAATACTAGGAGTCACATCTATGCTTACTTTGAAGCAGTTTTTATGGATAAGGTCTCAAATTTGGGGGATTAGGGATTTACTTTTTATTTTTGGTATTCTATTATATAAGGGACCCTTGACAATTGGAATTGCAGTACTTTATATCAAGGAGGGTTTTACAATGAGTACTGCAAGCCTTGAATGAATACTAAAAGCCTTTGTGTCAGTTTTCTGACAGGAAGAGACATTCATCTGCAGCTCCATCAGAATGTAATTTAATTATCTCTATTTATTTATTTATAACCTCGCATAGAGTTCAAGAGATTAAAAAAATGTTATGTGCTGAAGGCTTACTAAACACACTCAGGAAGGACAAAGTGGAAACAAAAAACTATTTAGATTTCCTAGTTTTGCATCTCATGTTTATTTGGTACAGTAGCTGAAAAAACGTCCTTAATTTTGACAGTCCTTAATACTGACAAAGGCTGGAAACTAGCTAACTCATTTTTAGCTATTTATATATTCCCTAGGTGTCGGATTCTATTGTGTCTAAAGTCTATACTACACTTTAAGAAACACTAATAATATTTCAAGTACAAAATTAGAGCCCTTGGATTTTATAGAATTTTTTGTTTACTATTCTGTATATTGTGCAAGTTTTGAAGGCCACCTGACGCACATTACATGGAGAATGCTTAACTGTGAAATACATAAAAGCTAACAGAAAGGAATGATGGCTTACACACTTGACAATGTATAGCTGTGAGTAAATACACTCTGAATTAAAAATATTTGAGCCCATTAATAAGGATTATTAATTGCATTATTTCAGCAATATGGCACTGAAGGCAGAGTTGATATTAATGTAACATGATAAGGAATTAAAACAATGATTCTTAAAGCATGGCTACAAAGTTTTGTTCAGGAGAAAAAAAAAAAGTAGAGGAATTCTTCTAACTGTACTCCCTGCAAACAAGATAGTTGATCGCTGCTAGAAAGTTTCATGGACATGCTCTCCAAAATGGTATTATAACTAGGTTAGCTTTCTTCACTGATTTTTATAATTAATAAAACCAAAAGCAAAAATTATTTCAAAATTTTAAGGTCTTTATTAGGCGCACAAAAGAGCTTTATAAACTAGATGGATAGGTTAAACCAACTTCAAAAAGACAAGTTTTTCAAAAATTATAATACTACACAACTGAATTCAGCACAGACTCTAAGAGCAAGAGAAAACTAAGGAGAAAAAATTGTTCAGAAAATAGGAAAGAATTTGTACAGTTATACTTTTTTCAATGTGAATGACAAAAGCTTTAACAAACCAAAAAGAGTTTTGATTTTTAGTGTTCCATCAAAACAAGATTTCCAACCCAGATCTGTCAATGGTATACTTCAAAATAACACACACCTGCCAATAATTAACTCTCCTTTTTGTGTTTGCATACTCATTTATTCTTAGAAATTTCCTCACAGGTGCACCTATGATACAATTAAGTCTGAAAGATCTGACAAGATGATGGCATGAAGCACAGTCCATACTGGTGATAAAAGCAACACTTAAGGTAATATTTCTTCTTTACTTTTACAACCAGTCTCTTTTTCTCATTATATATATATATTTTTAGAGGGGGGGGGG